TCATATGGAAGGAGGCGGTCCTTCAGGTATTCAGGGCCCAAGCCGTTTGGGGCTTTATATGTCAAAACAAGCATTTTGAATTGGGCCCGGGCAGGAACTGGTAACCAATGTAATTTAAACAGAATTGGCTTGATGTGTTCCCTAGCGGCCCCACCACTCACCAGCCGCGCAGCTCAATTCTGGACCAGGTGCAGTAGCCGGACCATCTTCAAAGGCAGCCCCACGTAGAGCGCATTGCAATAATCTATACGAGATTATAGATCATAAATCTATAATTTACGATGTCAGGCCACAGAATCTCAGCCACTTAATGAGTGGTCATATCAACCAGATAGGCGGGATATAAATTGAATAAATAAATAAATAAAATTAATGATTTAGTAGGAAATTATTTTAAATTATGATATGCTAATTATGATAAATACTTACCAGTGCAGTGCTTGTAAAAATCTTATAACTCATTTTGACAAGTGTTATGAGTTACTTGTTGTTTGCGCCAAACAGCCTGTTACTTGTTTTCTTTGTTATCTTTGATGCTAAACGTATCTTCATTTGAATAATCAATGTTGTAGCAATTTTAATCAGATTGTGAAATAAGGGTACAGTGGTGCCTCGCTTAATGAGCGCACCGTTTAACGACGAATCCGCATAGCGATGCGGATTTTGCGATCGTTTTTGCAATCGCATTGCGATGTTTTAATAGGTAAAACATCACATTGTGATGATCGTAAGCGTTTCGCTTACCGATCTTCGCATTGCAATGTTTTAGAAACAGCTGATTGGCGTTTCCAAATGGCCACCGGATGAAGAAAATGGCCGCCCACAGCGTTTTCGCGCAGATTCCTCGCTTACCGAGGCGGCGAAAATGGCGGCCCTATGGAGGATTCCCGTAGGAAGGGAGTTTAATGCGTTCCTATGGGGTTTTCATTTCCGTATAGCGATGTTTCCGGATAGCTACGTTTTTCCTGGAACGGATTAACGTCGCTATGCGGGACACCACTGTATTGTATTAGGTTAGCTCCTGCCAACCTAGCAGTTTGAAAGCGAAAATGGCGGCCCTATGGGGGATTCCCGTAGGAAGGGCGTTTAATGCGTTCCTATGGGGTTTTCATTTCCGTATAGCGATGTTTCCGGATAGCTACGTTTTTCCTGGAACGGATTAACGTCGCTATGCGGGACACCACTGTATTGTATTAGGTTAGCTCCTGCCAACCTAGCAGTTTGAAAGCATGTAAAAATGCAAGTAGATAAATAGGTACCACCTTGGTGGGAAGGTAACGGCGTTCCCTATCTAGTCGCACTGGCCACGTGACCACAGAAACTTGTCTATGGACAAACACTAGCTCTATGGGTTGGAAACTGAGATGAGCACTGCCCCCTAGAGTTGGACACGACTGGACAATTTGTCAAGGGGAACCTATACCTTTTATTAGGTTAGGTTCCCCTTGACAAAGTAGGAGACATTGTCTAATTACGGATTGCATGGAATTACTCAAAATGCTGAATTTGGTGAACTTGCTCTTTTATTTACAGGGACATAGTAGTTTTCCAGAAAAAAGAAGGAAGTGAATTGAAGCTAAAGCCAATTCAGTTTTCTGGTCCTTCAACAAGTACTCACATCAAAGTTAAGAACTCTGCTTCTTTAAAAATAGCAGAATGTCCCATACCTTCAAGTTCTCAGACGACTCGTAAGAGACCTAGTGGAGATCCTTTGATTCCAAGTGAACTGATGCCAATAAGTAAAGCTACATTGTTGACTAAAAACCTCAGGACACCAGTCAGGACTGCTGAAAATGGCGTAGTCTGTCCAATGGAGACTCCCTCGCCCAAGAAGTCGACAGCCAGTCGTGTGGTAAAACTCAAGCGGGCTCCTTTGTGTTATGAATCATCATCTCAGCAGTCCTCAGCACTGCTAAGCAAGATGGCAGAGCAGCCGACTCCCTCTATTGCACTGGCCTCTACGTCTCCACCGCAGACATTACGACAAGAGGGATTTGACGCGTCTCCCTGATGGCCCACAGTTGAGGTTACTGAAGAGTTAGTTTAAGCAGCTGAGGGAAGAAGGATGATGTTTATATATTGCTGGAGTTGCAGGTCATGATTGTCTAAAGCTAAAACTTCTGACCATCTAGGCAGATGAACAAAACTGTCAAATTACAGTCTTTACATGTTAAAATTAATGTATATGAAATATGTCTTATCCAGTGTACATAGTTCAAGATGTGTGTTTTAAAAATGGCTCTCTTTTGCGCAGCCATTCAATACGTCATATACATAAAATATGGTTTGTTAGTCATTTCAGAATAGAATTTATGCTGGGTTTTGGCCACCTTGAAAAACTCACCCACCAGTTTCTCATGGCCATTTTTTTTCTGACTTGTCTTATATCACTTTTTAACATTCCCATATTCAGACTCTCTTCAATCTTTTGTGATGACCAGAATGCTAATCATCCATCCATTAATATGTTATTTTTCATGCTGCTTGTGATGGACACTTTCTGTCTGCAACGTTTCTCCTTAGTTTAGAGTTTCACACACAGTAATTTAAATGTGTAGATTTTTACTTCAGCTTTGCTTCGGCTCTTTTGACTTAACCATTTCTGCAGTTGTATTTGAAACTTGCCCAGCCATTTGATACCCTGGCGGTTTGATGAATTTCACTTTTCGGTTTCTTGAGGATCGATCCTCCACACTTGAGACTGTTTCGATGTAATACTAAGCGAGTGGATAGCGTTATGAGAATGAACCTTTGGGTCATTCATCCTGCCCTGATCTAGCATAGCTGTGAGAAGACCAAACACCATCTCTGTGAACTGGTTGCAATTTAGCCGTGCCATCTGACTGCTGATTAGTATCAGTTATGAACAACAGAAACAAACCGCTTCCATAAACTAGCATTTGAACAGAAGTTTGATTGTTTCAGCAATAAATACAAAAAATAAAATACTTTATTTGGATTGGGATGCATTAGCAAATTGTTGCGAATTTAAAAGGGAAGCAGGAGTTGACTGCACTAGAAGATAAGGGAGCATCTGAATCCAAAGTGTAGACTCATTCTCCATGACTTTGTATTGTGACCCAATGTATACAGCCATCACAAGAGGCCCCGGTGAGGTGAAGCCTTTTTTGTGGCTTAGGACCTAAGAGGCATGAACCTAGATATTTCTGGTACAAATTTCCTCTGTTTCAGCTCCCCATTTGCAGCATAGAGATAATAAACGACGGCTCCACAGATCAGTATGTGGATTACTGAAGAGTGCCTTGCCATGGGAGCACTCAGGAACTGCTATGTGATGCCAAACGTTTATTGTTAGAAAAGACTTCAGTGTGTGTGCCATATACTCAGATTTGAAATGGTACATTTTGTCAGGTGAACTGAATTAAGTGTTGCTAACATTAATAATAAAGTTAACATTAACTGTGCAAGAAATGTGTTTTGCTCTTAGTTTTAAATAAAATATTTTTCTTAATGTTTTTTAAAAAACTTGATTTAATTGTAGATCAAGAATGGCAGAACTCTAGCTTTTTGACCCACCAGAACCATGGTGTGACACTGTGTTGCCTAGCATAGTTTATAACGTTAAGCAATGTTTTTTTTTTCATATAGTGGCACAAACTGTAGTGTCATGACAATTTTTAAATTGTTTTAAAGTTAAGGTTTTTTAAATATTATGTTTAATTGGTGTTTAAGATGTAGTAGTTTATTGTCTAGTAAGTCACACTAGAGTAGGCCCATTAATCAATGGGATCGATTCAGTCAACTCCTTGGTAAATTCATAATTTCATAGATTAAAATGAACCTATTCCAGTTGCAATTTACTTTAGTGTAGTAAATTGTAACTAAATTAGACCCAGATCAAAGGAATCTACTGAGGAATGGGCTCACCAAACCTCTACTGATTCAACGAACCTACTCTAGTGTGATTTACTATACTGTACTAACCAACAGGATTTCAGCCATTGTGCTTGTATTTGTGTATAGTATTTAATCCATTTGTGAACTATCTTGGGACTCAATACTGGGAGAAAAGTGGCATAGAAATGAAGAGGATAAATAAATGTGACTTCACTAAACAAACATTCTGTGTATCCCTACGCAGAAATACATTGTATTCAGTTCAATGAGATATTCTTCCAGGAAACTCTTTAAAGCACAGTCAGCAGCATTCTAGAGTCTTGTGGGGCTTAATCGCTTTCTCCTGCAGTCCAGCTTAATGTCCATCAGCTGAACAGCAGGGAGGAGATACCATATTTTTCTGTGTATACAACCCCCCAATGTATAAGATGACCTCCTAATTTTGACCCTTGCCGGAAAAGCAGTTAATGGGCAACTGCTCCTCCACCTCCATCTCCTCCGCTGCCCGATCACCTCTGCCATTGCGACTGCCGGGGCTCACCTCCAGCTGACGTTGTGGCTGCCGTTTTGCCTAACCAAAGGGAGAGCTGGAGGAAGCGATGTGGCAGCAGCAGTCGCCGTTGTGGCTGCCGTTTTGCCTACCCAAAGGGAGAGCTGGAGGAAGCAATGTGGCAGCAGCAGTCAATGGTGCGAGTGCTGCTGCCGCCTCCGCCACCAGAGGGGACAAGGCAGGGACGTGAGCTGGAGGTGAGCCCCAGCAGTCGCGCTGGAGAAGGCAATGGGCGGCAGCAGCAGCAAGAGGCGCCCGAGTGGGCATGACTGCTCCTTTGCCTGCGTCTCCACCTCCTGCTGCTGCTGCTGCCACCTCCGCCACTGGAAGGGGCGAGGTGGTGACCTGAGCTCTGGAGGAGGCAATTGGGCAGTGGGCAGCAGCAATAGGTGCCCGAGCACGCACAAGTCCTCCTTTGTCTCTGCCACCTTCTGTGTATAAAATGACCCTCAATTTCCCCCCTAATTATTTTAGGGAAAAGTGTCGTTTTATACACGGAAAAATACAGGAATTGTTTTTTCTGGCGCTTTTGTTTGGAGAAGCAATCTATGTTGGAGTTGATGAAGCCAAAGCTTTCACATGGGGCTGGAGAACCTGTGGTCTGCTACCTGTTGTTGTACACCATTTCTCTTTATCTCCAACTGGGCCAACAGAGACATGGGATGTGCGCTGATATATTATCAGTAGCTGAAAGGGCAAAGGTGGTCTGCCTCTGCTTTAATTTCCTCCACCAGTTCTAATACAGCTGAGAGTCTTGTCTGCCACCAGTCCCTGCTGATACTAGTAAGGAAAGGTAAGTTGCGTGGTTGTCTGGAATGTAGGTTTTATCACACACCCCATTACGATACTAATACAGAGGTGACTATTGCTCTGGGGTTAGCAGTGGCAGGGGAATAGCATCCTGAATGAGGTTGAGGTGGGGAAGTTCATCTTAATTCTCTCCCATTGACCTCCACGCAGAAATGGCTGCTTCAAGATGTTGTAAAGAGTACAGATCATCAGTTCTTAACCTTTTCTTTACCACAGATTCCCTTTAAATATCCTTTGTTGCCACGGACCACCAAGACTTAACTCAAGATTTAAAACCCTAAAGTGCATCACATATTTATTTAAAGTTTCTCAGGAAGGGTCTTATCGACAGATATTCCTTGGTATAATGGGAACACTTTTTAAGATGGCTGGAAGAAGCTTCCTTCTGCTATGAACAGGATGCACCCTCATCAACAGCATCAGTTCTTTTACGTTTCAGATTCAGCTAGATGTCCATTCTGAGGCTCAGCCAAAATGTATTGTTATGAATTTTCACTGTGATAATATAGAAAAGTCACTGTACCCGGCAATAAGCAAGCGGTTTTATTAGCAGAAATTGAAGAAGAAACAGGATCACAAAAATCTGAACACTCATTCACACTGACGCTGACTGACTCCGACCCTTGTCCCACGGCTTTTGATTGTCTGCGCAGTAGCAAGAAATATCACGTGCTGACTCTCAGCCACTCAGTGTCATTCACTTGCATATTTTCACTGTGTGCAGAAATATCAGTTCCTTGCCGTGAGAGAGTTATTTTCATAACTGATTTTTACTTTTGTTTTTATTGCAGGCGGTAAATTAGAAAGGCCAGGTATTACACAAATAAGGAAAATGAAAATGTTCTTTCTTGCTTGCTTTCATTCATTCATTCATTCATTCATTCATTCATTCATTCATTCATTCTATTTTAGCTGCAAAAGATCATAACATTTATTCAAGCCTTTTTGGATCCCCTGTGAGGACATTGTGCCCTTGCTGGGGGCCTGCAGAGGACAAGTTAAGAACCTATGATGTAGGCTATATTTCTGCCCCATTTCCTGATTGTGGTTAGCAGGGAGGAAGGTTTCCCTATCCACTGAAGAGGGGGAAAGCCTGTCCATGTGTGGAGACACTAATCACCACTACAAACAGCTGGCCCTCTGCAAAATTGCAGTCCAAATTACTCTACCAGGTGGCATTTTGAGCCAAATAGAGAGCCCTTTTGCTCCTGCTTGTGATTCCAGATGGAAGCGCAGTGGACTCTTTTCGATGGTGGCAGAAAAAATGGTTGTGGATGTAAAGTTCAGTCCAGGAAAATTATTTGCATGTGACTGAGCATGGGTTAGTCAGCACAGAGCAGTCGCCCTCTTGTCTCTCATTAGGAGATGCAGTTCATATGGCTTTAATAAAATTAGCTGGGTGGCAGAATGTGAAAGAAATGGTTATTTCTCTCATATGATAAACATGTGGTTGCTTATCTGTAGCATTCAGCAGATTGCAAATATCTTCAGCTTGAAAATGCAACATTGTACAGTGCTGGTCCTTATGGATGTCTGCATTTATTTAAAGATTGATTTGCTGTTGGTATTAGAGTATCACAGTAGCTATTTAAAAAAAGATATAAACCAAAATAGTCTGCCCTGAAGTGGCTATACATTGGTTTTACATTAAAATGACGGCTTGAACTGGGAAGGATATTAAAGTCCAATAAATTTAGGGGATACAGCTATTTTTAAAATGACTAGTAAAATACAAGTCACTATGATAAAAGTATGTGTATTTTAAGAACCAAAAATCTCACTTTTCAAATGTTTTGTGGTGTCCATGCTATTAAGTTGGGTAAAGGACAAAACTGAAACATTGTCAGATTTAGAACTATATTGGTCTGTGGCAATATCTAGTGTCAAATGCTTTTCTTAGCCTTAGTTTTACATTAAAACAACAGTTTGAATTAGCCAAAAAATGACTGGAAGCCATCCAGAGAAGGTGAGATGGAAGAGTCTTATGCAGAAAGATGGTGATGGATGGAAGCATAAATATAACTTACTATTAAGCTAAGCCAACGTTTTTGGACCACTGTCTTCAAGCATCACACTCAAACGTTTGATTAGAAATTTTGTTGATTTTGTAAAAGAATAAAATACACACATGCTGAATCTCAGTGGGTTTACTGTTTCAAAATATAAAATGTTGCATTTTGTAAAACAGTAATTAATTTAAAAAAGGAAGTGACTGATGTACAATGTCAGGTTGTGTATTTTCTTCTTAAATAGATTTGTATGTGCTCGTCTGTGTGTGTGTGTGCGTGCGTGCGTGTGTGTGCGTGTGTGTGTGTGTGTCTGTGTCTGTGTCTGTGTGTGTCTGTGTGTGTGGGTTTCCACATTCTCCCAAGGTCAATGGGGCAGACTTACCTTTACAAAACTCTTCCTCCTAATTGGCAAAAAAATTCTTAAGAGATGATGGCTTCCCTTCGCTTCTCAAATGTGCCTTGTTTAGCCTGCAGGTAGAAAGTTTCTGGCAAGACATTTGAACTGTGCCTAGCAACTTCTTTGTTAGAGAAAGCCACATTTTCAGAGAAGGCCTCTGACTGTATGGCTATGCCCCAACCCCAAAGTCCAAGAAGATGGTAGCTGCTATGAGGTAAAGAGCATCCTTGATGAGAGACAGACTAGTCCTCCTGGCAGTGTTTCCTGGCCTCAGCTTCTCTGCCTTCCACAGACTCGGAAAGCAGGCATTGGCAAAACTAGGCTGAATAGCAGAGCACAGCTTTTCTGCTGCAATTCTTTCCCCCTGTCTTCCGGCCACGAGTAGGTTTGAAGAGGCCCATAGTTTAATCACAGCACAAACCCTTTCCTCTGAGCCTCTGAGCAAGAGGTTGGGACAGGGGGAGAGAAGGGATCTACCCGGACTCTATGGACTGGAGCAAAAGCCACCCAGTGATCTGTTCTTCCATAAAGCATGACCTAAACCTCAGCGTGGTAACAGAGTAGTGAAACGTGCTGTAGTTAATAAAAAGGGGGCGTCTTTCCTGTTTTCCTGCCCTTCTGTACCTCACAAGTGTGACCAGAAGCAGTGTGGTTGATCTGCCAGGCCTTCTCTCATTGCTTCAGTTGGATGTCTTTGTTCTGTCTTCTCTTGAAGCCAAAGCTCATTTCCCCTCCATTCATGGGAACGAAAAGAGTCCTAACAGCAGGACTAAGACCTGGAAAAATTGATAGCAAAACCACAAGTGTACTGTTGGTGAGTAAAACGTTACAACTCTTTGGAGGACCAGCCCTTTGCTTCCTAAAGAGGATTAATTAGCAGCTCCATGTGCTGGTGTTTCATAATGGGCATCAAAGCTAACTGTCATGAGACACTATGGATTCAGTTGTTCTCACACTTCAGATATGCACCTGCATTTTCTCCTTTGGTGGGAACACACTTGAGGACATCTTTGTAACCAAAATGCAGTAACATTGTGCAAAACGGCGTCTCTGTCTCCATGCTGTCCTAAGCGGTAGCAGTGATTGCTTCTTTTTGCTTCACGAAGCACAGAGACAACTCTACCTCATCAGCTCACTTAAGGAAGAGAAATGAAGGGTAACTGAGGGTGCAATCAGACTGCAGTGAAGGCACATGTCAGATTGTACCCTTGCGAAAAAGTAGTAGCCCTACAGCTGGACCAAAAAGGTCCAGCTTGGGCACAGATCAGGGTTGTGCTCGAGCACAATTTGCGTTATGTCGTGTGATTGCTGGGAAATAGATCACATCAGAATACCACTGAGGAAGGAGAAAAGGTTCCTAGAAAACAGACCATCCAACTCTGTACCCTCCACGTACTCGTAACTAGTGTATTTCTCCTCATCCTGTGAAGAAAAGGAAGGCAGCTTTGGTGAAATCACTGAGAGGGTCTGTGTAGTGGGTCTTGGCCTCAAAATCAGACCCCCTACAACACCTTCCACAGGAGCAAGTCCAGACAGTAATGACCATGCCTATAGAAAATGGCACCTGAAGATTATGTACTGCAGTTGACAAGTTGCACATGTTTTCTAAGAATAAGATGTCTCTTTCCTCAGCACTGTCACATTGTCTTAGAGTCAGACTGTTAAGCACAAACATGCAGCTCTCTCTCTCTCTCTCTCTCTCTTATTTTAGAAGAATTACATGTTGCGCTGACCCCAGCTCAGGGAAAATATCCTAAGGCATGAAAGCGATAAACACGTGCAGGACTTAAAGACAGAGAGAGAAAGTTTCACTGGAGGCAACTGAAGTTAGACACACAACATTTTGAAGAAACAGGTGGTGTAAACTATTTGGATCAGGGCTGCATGTTTATTCCAGAGTAGAAAAATAAGCATTTAACATAGCCTCTAATTTGATCTTCAGTCTTCTCTTGGAGAGGAACCTGCCAGTTTAAGTTTAGAGCCATTCAATTATCATTTAATGGGGATGCCCGGCATGGCAAAGGTCAGCCTTCTTAAGCCCAGCAATTCACAGTGGTGTCGTTTCTGCCTTTCTCATTAAGTGAAATAGGAAAGAACAGTTGGGGGAGGGGGAGGGCTAAAAGGTGGGGGAGGACCCACAGCCCCCCTCCACCTTCTGCATTGCTGGTTGAATCTAAGACAAGGCAGGTTCCCTCATGAGATTTCTCTATCCAGGAAAATTAGGGATGTCTATGGCGGAAATAAAAACCAACAACAAACATGAATCTGAGACTAAACTGCCTTCACTTTTTAGTGTGCAAGGAATTATTTAAAAGTCACGAAAAACATCCAAGAGGCTGGAACACTGGGTAATGTTACTTGAAGAAAGTTCAAATTGATGAAAGAAGCACATTACCCAATAACTTACAAATGCTACAACACAGAAAAATACTGGTGCATAGTTTGTTGGCTAGCATTTATGCCTGATCTCAAAGGTTTTTAAGATTACTCAAACTATGAAGTTAAGCAGAACTAACTGTCTGTACAGACAATTGGGGATCTGTATAATCTAGAGATGGCCAAGGCTAGTTTTATAGGAGCCATAGAGTATCTAGACTGCAGAGCAGCAACAGGAACGTCAGGACTTCCCAGGCCCGTAATATAAGTTGTTTCACCAAGAGCAAACTGGACAATAACAAATACTTACAATCTATATTGACATTGTCCTGCAGTTTATTTGATAATACCATTTGATTGTTCTACTAAGTACTGGCTAGCTAAAAGCTGCACTGTTATGAACAAACAAAAACAAATTTGAGTATATTGTGCAAAGCTATTAAAGTAAGAAACAAGATATGGTAGGTTATTACAATTAAGAAGACATTCAGTAACTTACCACAACTGTAAAAAGTTTCACAAACTATTTTTGCTAGGGAGAGGGAGGGAAGGGGAAAGCACCTTTAAGTGAGAAATATTGGGGGGGGGGCAATGCATCACGGTGACTCTTCCTTCTTTCCCACTCCTCATGCCACCAAAGTCACAGCTGGGACCGAGAGGACAGGAGCGTCCGCCGAAGTCTCTATCCTTGGGGGGCATAAATTATATTGAGAAACTCTTGTCATATTGCTGCATAAAGGTCTGGGCTCTGTGGGGCCTGGCGCAAGATGCTTTCGCCGTGTCTTTTCTGAGTGTGTGAAGTTTTCCATGCTTTTAGCAGGGGCGGACTGCTCTTGGGTTTTAATTGGGCCTTTGTGTTTTGGCCGGAAGCTGTTATGGTGTTGTCTTCTGTACTCATTCCGGGAGCTTCCCTTGGAGGCGTTCTGGTCTGATTCCACGCTGGCACTTGGTGATTTAAGAGGTCCGTTGATTCGAAAGCTGTGATACTGCGTGTGAAATCTTCGTCTCTGGCTGGAAGGCCCATTCTGTCAAGGAGAGAGAGCAAGAAGCGGAATCGTCAGTTTGTCTGGCCTACCAAACTGTAGGGTTGGGTTTTTGTTTTTGTAACAATCTAGTGCAGTTATTCTGACGTCAGCAGCAGCTATTAAATGTGTGAGGTTCAGGACCCTGAAGGCAGCCTTAAAGCCATATCTACTACAGACAACCTGCCCCTTGGAACCAGAGCACCAGACATTAAAGAATTAATTAAATTAATTAAAGAAATGCATCATCAGCAATAGATGACTTTCCCCCCCTGTAAGATGACAACCCACATGGCTAATTTTCAAAAAAGCAAGACAACAACTAGTAATCCCTATGTTTTCCTTGCTTTTGTCGGTGGTAACCTACACTTACTCCTAAACTGAATTATTTGTTTAACTACATAGATTTATTTAGATTGTTTTATCTGTCCTTTTGGCAGCTTGCCCAAGGAAGCTCATGACAGATCAACAACAAATGATAGAATATGAACCAGCAATAAAGCAATTTTTTTAAAAAACGTATAAAACTGTAAAATATATAGATCAGTGGTTCTTAACCTGGGCGAAAAAACATATAAAACTGTAAAATATATAGATGACCAAGGCCTAAGTCCAACTGCTTGTCCCAACTAGTCTGCCAGCAAGGCCTAAATCCAACTGCTTGTCCCAACTAGTCTGCCAGCAAATCAATGGGATACATGTAAGCATTGATTTACACATAAGTATTGATTTACCATTGAGGAATTGATTCAGTGGCACTACAGTATTCTATTGCCAATTGCAATTGCATTTAGGATAGAAGAGTTATTTTTAAGTGTATTTTTGCAAACAGTAATGAAAAAGTAACTATAAAGAATGCCATCAGTAATTAGCAATGAGTAACAAGTAATGTTATTTCTTAGTAGCCAAGTACTTCTAAAGTTGCAAAGAACAAAATACTTTTAAAAGAGAAATATTCCAGGCTCTGCCTGGACCTGTAGAAGGAGCAGCAAAATGGAGAGGGTGCTCATCAGCCTAAATTGGTGGAAGACTGCATCCCTTTGATACTGGGACAAAATTGCCAGTGCAGACCATTAGGGCTGCCTTCACTATGAAACAGTGTGTCTTAGAATAGTGGTTCCCAAACTTGGGCCCCTAGATGTTCTTGTTTTACAACAGCATGAAGCTCTAAATTTTGATTATGCTAGACAAGGCTTCTGGACGTTGTCGTCCAAGAACATCTGGGGCCCCAAATTTTGGATCCATTGTCCTAGAGCTGCATTCTGAGAAGTGAAATATCTTCCAGGGACCCCAAGCTTTCAGTCACCTGATGCAGTCCTATGGTACCACAGAGCCTTTGTATCTGTAGGGACTGGCTGGTGGTGATCAACCCAGGACACGCCAGATGGCAAGAGACTACTAATTGTTACCTAGAAAAGCTTGATACTTGCTTTACTTTCATCGTTTCCTTATCTTCCCAATTGGCCATGCAATAAATCTTGGTGAGAGACCAAGAGAGGCAGCAAATGCTACATCAGAGCTTCCTCTGCTCTTCACTGGCCCATCTATCACCCACTGCCTTGGGGCAAAGAATGGAACAGCAAAGAAGGTGTGTGAAAATAACTCTGAACACCCACTCCTCAAGGGTTGTTTCCCCATCCCACCCCTGAGATCCTAACAAGTTAAAGTATTGGAGCGCTGTGATTTTTACTATCTTTTAGAATTCTACTTCTACCCTTTGTTGAAGGGATTTATATTCTTAAAGGTGAGATAGGCAATTTTAAGAAATAATAGAATATTGGCTTTTTTTTAAAAAAAATAATCCCATGTGAACTGCTGAAACACTTTATTTTAGACGATGTAATCCTATAGGACTGATTTGATAGTTTCTCAACTCAATGCAGCATTAATAGGGCCTAAATCCTCTTGCCTAGTTATGCTGGTATAACACAAACAGTGTAACTTTGGCAAATTGCATTCCATTGAGAAACCACCATAGACGTTAGCAGTTGTATGTTGAGTCAGGCAACTCAGTATGCAACAGATAATGTTGATTTGAAAGTTCTAGGCTAAAATGTAAAAAAGGACGTTGTAAAATATAAGGCTAGTATGCTTTTAGAAACAAGGAGCATAAACATTTGCTCCCGCAAGCCTCCTGTGGCTACAAAAGCCGGAGAGCGCTACATTGGCAACAGTGGGGACTTCTGATTGCACAAGGGAAGGCTGGATTCTCCATTGTACAATTGGCAGGGAAAGAGAAACCACATGATGAACAGACTGTTCCTCTGGTGCCTTTGCGCCCAACAGAATACCAGGCTTAAGAGTGGTGGAGTATTTTACTCAGCTTTAGGGCTGTAGAGGAATGTTGATACTTGGAGATCTTTAAGAATATACTTTGAAGAAATGTCGTTTTGCTCAATTCCATTCTTGAGACTAAAAACCAAAAGTTTCAAGGTCACACCCAAGACAGCTGCCACATCCAAAAGCATTTAAAGCTGCAGTCCTCTTTGGTAAGGGTTGTGGTGGGAAGGATTCCAGCATTTGGTAGGAGGATTGATTTTCAGGATTCCTGGAAGTCAACTCCAGATACCTGTTTCCAATTGCTGTTCTCGTGCAGTTGTACATTTTGTTTCCCTGTCTTCAATGATGGAACTATGAGTCACTCACTGTTCTTTGGCTCTCACCTGTTTATTTGTTGAAGGTATCTGAGGAGAAGATTCTGTGGTGCTGGAGGCAACCTGGCTTGAAGCTTTAGCAGTTGCTCCTTTGTCATCAGGAGTCTTGGCATGAGCCCGACTAGAAGATTTCCGGCCGGGTGTGTTTTGAACATTAGTTGCCACGTGCAAGCGGGCTGACTGAAGCAGCGTGCTGGATGGTGTTCTTGAGGAATAATTGTTCTTTGGATGCGAAACTACAAGGAAGAGGAATGCCAACATGTAATGTTATATTGAACAATAAATCATTGTTGATTCTGGAATGGCGCCAGCTGAACCCAAGCAGAAGACCATTCTTTATGTTGTCAAATTAAATGTTTATAGAAAATATCTTGTTTAACTCATTTTCCTTTTCATGATGTTATCTCAGAGAAATTCTTAATGGAATTATGCTGGGGCTATTGTCCATTCATCTATACAGATACAAGATGTTCTAGGGAACTGAAAATACTCTGGTGCAACTGAGGACAAAACTATGACTATACGCCACAAACTCTGGTGCATTTAAGGAAAAACTACACGTTGCAACAAACAACAAGTTACTGTTGATCTGTCCCTCTTTCTTTCTTCTTCCTTATCATCTAGAACAGACCTGGGCAAAGTGCGAGTTCTGACTGTTACTCTTGAGCCGCAGGCTGCGGAGCTTGCTGCTCAAGAGGCCAGAAGCGATCCTTGCACAGGTGACGTGATGACGCATCACGTTGCCAGTGCGGGATAGAAGACAGTCGGAGAGGAAGGCCGCGGGGGAACAGAGGACAGGTGAGTTTGCCAAGTGTTGGGGTTTTTTCCTCCCCCTCCTTGCGGTGAATGAATTACAACACTCACATGGTTAATTCCCTAGCACAGTTCAGATTTTTCATGTGGCTCCCTATAGAAATTAATTGCCCACCTCTGATCTAGAACAACACACAAAAATACACAACTCTGTTATTCCATCTAGTTTGCTCTTGTCTACTCCAGTACCTCTCAGTGCTTCATCCCCAAATGAGACTGGGTTGCAACTCCCAGAACCATTGACCTTTGGCAGTGCTGCCTGAAACAATGGGGAGTCTGAGGTCCAACAACACTGGGGACCGCCAGTACACTTTAATCAGCAGTGGCCCTCCGAAATCTTGAGTAGGGATCTGTGCCCTCATCTGCCCTGTGATGCTCTTTTCAGGTGGTCAGAGACTGAACTTGAGACCACTGGTATGCAGAGCTTATGGTCTCTCACAGAGTTATCCTGCCCTGGAATTGTAGCAGTTAAAATTCATAGTGCAATGACACTCTACAGTTCTTTATCTTGTCTTCATTATGAAGAAGAGGATAGAAGAAAAGAAAGCTATTATCAGTCAAATTAGGCAGTTTGATCGTAGAGAAGAGGCTAATCAGAGTGAGGCACTTGTGGCCCTCCAGATACTGATCTTCAGTTCTTCCGCCCCCTGCCCTCCCCATGGCCAGGAATCAGCCATGTAGCTTATTAACATCTGGAGGATAATTGTTTTCTATTTCTGGAACAAAAGAATCCAGGAATTTGTATCTGACTTATATAGCAAGAAGAAAGTGCTGGCCCTTGTGAAGCTGGCAAGGTGGTCAAGCAGGGTCATTTTGACTGGGCTTCAGGAAGCAAAATGTGTTGGGCCACCACACTTGACCTCCATCGCCTTTTACAGATACTTCAGTGTAAGGAAGGGCTTTTCGTTTTGTTGTGGTTTCAGCTGATCTCACCTCTTCTTCCCTTCCCTCTTTCTGTTCTGATAAGATAGTGTTTTTTTTCCTATTTTAATCATTCCTTTTTACTGGCTTCTTACTAATTTGATGTTTGAAGGTAGGATATAATTTGTTTTAAAAATGAATGCCTTTTTTCTTCCCCTCTTAAAATAAAAATTTTAAAAAATCTTAAGCACGTGTTATTGAACTGTCATGTCTTAGAATATTTACAGGTAAACTTTGGATTTGCATGACCCTTAAACCACACTGAAGCTTCATGATGAGCCTACAAGTGTTACACCATGATATCTGAATAAAGCCCACTGAATTTAATGGAACTGAGCAGACAAGGGTAGGAGCGGACTCTGAGTGTCATCTTCCTCCACCCGCCCCTCGAGCACTTTAGTGTACAGTGGTGCCTCACTGGACGGTTACCTCACATGACAGTTTTTTTGCTAGACATTGACTTTTTGCGATCGCTATCGCGATTCGCAAAACAGTAAGTCCTATGGGGGAATCTCACTGGACAATGTTTGGTCCCTGCTTCGCAAACCAATTTTCACTAGACAACGATTTTGACAGCTCCCTCCGTACTTGCAAAACGGGTGTTTTTGGGACCTAAGCTTCGCAAGACAGCTATTTAAACAGCTGATTGGTGGTTCGCAAAGCGGCTTTCCTATGGTCGATCTTCGCTAGACAATGGCGATTCTTCTCCATTGAAACACATTAAACAGGTTTCAATGCATTCAAATGGGGAAATGCTATTCGCTAGACGATGACTTCGCTAAACAGCGATTTCAGTGGAATGGATTATCATCATCTAGCGAGGCACCACTGTATTTCCTTTGGACTACTAGAAGAAATTTCTGAAGTACTAATTCAGAAAATAAAATGAACATGGCACACTTATCTTAGTTTTATTTACTAAATATTAATCAAAATAGTTAATGAGAGCCCAGTACACTTAAGAGTTCAGATTCCTGGAAATGTTTCAGAAAAAAAGCCACACCACTACTTGTGGTGTGAAGTTTTGGCACAGCTCTCTCAGTCCATTTCTAGATGGAAACCGGGGTTAGGTACAGCTACTTAATCGTTATTTCTTTGTGGGGATTCATGCTTGGCATTTATTGTCTTCTGAAACAGCCACAATAATAGAGGAAAAAGAAAAACTCCATCCAACCTATTTCTAACTTCTGTGATCAGTCCCTGTTTTATCAGGGGATTTTACAGAATGGAGCATGTCGGGGTCAATGACACCAGAAACCTGTGCTGTACAAGAAGAGGGAAGATTTACTCAGGAAAGGACTGAAGGGTACCTATAACAGAAGCATCTCTCCTCCACTTGCACACCCCAGTTTCAAGCTCCCCATCATGCTTCCCAAGGAGAAAGGCAGGGAGGAGAGAGGCACAGACTGTGCTCGGGCCAGGAAGACTCACATCCTTCTCTGTGTCAAAGTCACAAGGCTTGCTTAGAAGCACCATGACTTACTTTCTCCACACTGTAAAATCTGACTCTTCAGATGTTCGATATCACAGGAAAAGCGGGCAGATCGACCCAGTTCTTCGTCATATTTACGTTCACTTACAAAATGCTAAAGAAAAGAGAAAAGTTACTTTGTTATACATTGCCCCATGTGATCAGCCAGAAAACAAAGAAGCCATTATAAAGTTTACATGCAGTTTAAGAAGAGGCATGAACCAGTTTCTGGATACAGTATTTAAAAAATCACTTATGAAATGTTCTCACAACTGTTTGGTCAGAACCCATAGCACAGGGTGCATGTTAGTTGCCATCAAGTTGGAACCAACTTACAGTGACCCTAACAAAGCTGTACTGTATCCGTATCCACACCCCATACACAAGGCCTCACAAGGCTGTACTTTATCCATGTATATATGTATATATATATATATATATCCATATACAGTGGTGCCTCGCTTAGCGATTGCTTCGTTTAACGATGTATTCGCTTTGCGATGGGTTTCCTTAAGGAAATTTCCCCATCGTTTAACGATGTTCTCTATGGGGGAATTTCACTTAACTGTGTCTGTTTTCGCTCATTTTTAAGTGTCTTAAAATGTTTGAAACCTGTTTTAAATGGTTGGAATAGTTAGTCCACCTTGTGAAACCTATGCACACTTAGTATGGCTTTGTTCTGAGTCTTCGTTAATTTTTGGTGATTTTTTGTTTTTTCCCTCATTGAAAACCATTGGACTGTCCGTTCAATGGATTTAAATGGGGAAAACAAAAAATCACCAAAAATTAACGAAGACTCAGAACAAAGCCAAACTAAATGTGCATAGGTTTCACAAGGTGCACTACTGAATCCAAGCATTTAAAACAAGTTTCAAACATTTTAATACACTTAAAAATGAGCGAAAACAGACATCGGAAAGCCATTCAAAAGCACTGAAGTGCTTTTTAATGGCTTTCCCTTGGGGGAAACATTGTTTCACTTAGCAATGTTTCCTATGGGGATTTTCGCTTAAGGACGGCAATCCGTTCCCATTGGAACGGATTAACCGGTTTTCAATGCATTCCAATGGAAAATGGTGTTTCGCTTAACGATGTTTTCCCATAGCGATGTTTTTTTGGAACCAATTAACATCGTTAAGCGAGGCACCACTGTATATATAATGGGACTTTCTTGGAGGTGGGATGGGGATGGGACTTGCAGGTGGTAAAAAAAACATTGCACTGTTGTATGTTCCAGGGCAAGGGAGGAAGAACACAAAGAATGTCCTTAAGATTCACAGATGTGGGGAGAAGTTGACAACCTTGGCCATCACTAATGCCATCTGTGGCTGTCATGCATACGCACCCTACATGCCTTATTTTGATGAACACCCCATTCACCTTCTGCAATATGAAACAAAGTAGACACTGATGTGATAGCAGTGCTTCTTCATGGTCATTTGGCAGAAACACTTCGCAATGCTGTCACCATAGCTGCTCGCCACCACATTCCCACCAGCTATGCAGATATCAAGCTTCCCATCAATCCACACACCTACAGATATCATCATTCCCTGATACCAATTTTATTCAATTTCTGGTTACTTTCTGTTTTTATAAAAATGACATCCCACACACATTTTAGCCCCTCCCATTAAGTTTCTGGTCACAGTTCCATCTCCTGATTTATCTTCTCTGTACAGTGTGTACACGTGTGTGAGAGATGAAACACTGTTCTCAGCTAAAGAGCGGCTTGCTGATTGGAGCAAGACGATGCCTCTCTGTATACAGGTAATGTGTGAATGGCAGCCCTGGGGCACTGAATTGCAATGAATGTAAGGTAGTGCATGTCCTGTATAGTTCAGAGAATACACCTGCAAAGAAAAATCACAGAAATCTGGAGCCTGAAACTTGTTTTTAACCAAAGGCATGTTCAAGTGTTATAGCCTAAAAGCAGGAGAGTCAATAACTGTTGCCCCCCCAAACTTCCCCAGATGTCAGTCACTGCTTCATGATCAATGGAAAGATCTGACGAGGCATTCACAGGTGTGCTCAACTGTCCATGCCTGCAGTGCTTCCATGACTGGGAGCTCTTGAACATGGAAGCACTGTAAACATCTTCAACCAAGGATACATACAAGTACTTTTCCAGGTCATTTTACTGGATATGCAGATGACTAGTGACTTCTGGGATTTAGCAGAGGGCATACTCCTATGGCCTGCAACAATTACAGCCCTCCTTCCTTTAGCCCTATAACACTTGAATTGGGCCCATCTCCGTGTATAAAGTATATGAATGATCCGTACTTCCATTTTTCGTGAATTGGGCCCATCTTCGTGTATAATTTACTGTATATGAATGATCCGTACTTCCATTTTTCACTGCATGAAATCATACAGTTAAGGCCAGGTTTGTACTGAAATCTCAGGTGTCTGCCCTGTATATTCCTCTAGGAAGGCACAATCTCTAATTCAGATAGAAATGGATTGAAAAACCTTAATTTCAGCCCGCAGTTCTGCCAGTTGCGTCTCCGCCATCTGACTGGCCAAATCTGTTAGCCTCTTCAATTCTTCCGCTTTCTTCTGACGAGCAGTTAGGATTTCCACTGCAGAACAAGAAAGGATAATTCAAGCAACTGTCCATAGGGCAACAACATGAGTACTTCACAGTAACAAGTAGAAGACACACTCACAATGATGAATTAACAATGCGCCCACCAGTGAATGAAAGCAGTTTTCATGCAAATCGTTTCTTCACTGCTTACAATGTCCAGTACAATTTACTACAAATCCCAGTGTTTTACATTTCTTTGCCCTCACTCTCTATCATGCATGTTGGCTGGGGAAAGAAGAGGGCAAACGCAGACTTGCATGATATCAAGATGTGAATACATTGTACTAGATGTCAAAGAGCAGGAGGAGGAAATCCAGACATAAAGCTCCTGCTTTTGTTGGCTGTCACGTGTCTTACTATAGCAGCTTGGTGGGCCCAGAATCAAGAGATTCATTAGGGTGCCAGTCATTTCCAGTTCTTATTCTCAGTGCTTTTTGGCACAAGTGGAGGTAAAATTGCCCACCGCTTTCCAAGTTTATTTGAGCATTGTGTGATTGAATTATGCTTAAAATGGAAACCAATTTTCAGTGTGTAATATGGCAGACGCTGTATGTTTACTTTTTCTAAATTTCTGAATACTTAGGGATTGCCATTTGATTGGCTTAATTTTTTTATTTTAATTTTCTGTTACCTTGCCTGCTCATTCCTTGTTTATTTGTTGAAACAGCTAGACAAACTTACTAAAGGAAGATTTACTTACTGGCTTCTTCTTTAACTTTGTCAATCTCTGCCATTAAAGCCACTTCTTTGTCTATTATGCTGCAAGTTAAAAACAAAGTGATTTAGTTCATCACAGCAGAAATATAACATTTTATGCAACTATATCCTTTGGAAGGACTTACAAACAACAATGTCGTCATTTTTGTTATATAATATAAAAATATTCTAGAAAGCATTTGTCTAGATGCAGACAAATTTAAGAAATCAGTGTGGCTTTCACTGATTAGAGCTCATCAGATGCATCATTAGTTCAATAAAATCACACCTCATCAGTATCCTATTCTGGTGCACTGTTAAGTATTAGCAAACTGATTTTGCATTAATCAACAGAATACAATAATCGTGCCAAACACTAACTAGGTAGTCCTGCTCTTTGGCCAGCACATTTGGTTCTTCCTGTCTTTTGTTAGCTTCTTTAATCTCCCCCTGACCCAACTTACCAGTTTTAGATTCAGGCAAATGCACTTAACCCTTCCTTACAAGTAACTTAAATCTTTTTTTAGAACTATGAAATTCAGAACTAATTCCAGTGCATCAAAGTTTCTGTAATGGTTGAATCACGTAATATTCATTCCTGTGCCTATAGGATCATAAGAACATAATAAGGGGAGGCGACAGATTCAGAGTTGGAAGCAATTTTACATCTCATGTGCATAACCTGATCATAACTCTCGACTGATCAGACAAATCCCTGGGGAAAATGCCCTGGGGAACAGCTCATGGCTGTACTTTCAGGTATTTCAGTTTTCTGGATCTCCCATCTCTACTGAACTCTCCCCTCCTTCCTTTAGGATTTTTACCCATGGGTTGTAATCCAACTTTTTTTTAATTTCCCCCCCTTGAAATTCAGTTTCCTGAAGTCCCAAGACCCTCATCTGAGTAAGCCTACTTTTCACAAATGTTTCAGTCCTGAATTACAAGATGACATTTTCATTTTGCTCACAATTGCTACCATTTCGATCCTGTTTTCCCTAGGCGTAAGGATTAGGTCCAGCACAGCAGTGCTCTCTGCTCCTGCCCCAACCCACTATTTCTTTTTTTTTCCACTTTTTTGACTTTCTGAGAGCTAGGCAGAAGCTTAGTCAAAGAGCAGGTGCTATATCTGGAGAAGGTTCAGATTCAAGCCTCAGGTAAAACTAGGGGAAAAAAGCTTGCCTGTAACCAGTCAAAATCAGCCACATGGGCTCAACCAGTATAAGGCAACTTCCTCTCTTCCTAATAAGGCCAGCATGCCATCAAATAAGATTTCAACTTACGGTGACCCTTTCCAGGGTCTTCTAGCTACAGAGTACTCAGAAGTGGAGGATTCTTCTGGGGCCACTTCTGGGACCACATAGGTTGCCCAACGCCACACAGGCTGGCTCTTCTGAGTTGCACAGTGGGGGAATAAAAATCCCACCCCTGGCTCTTCAGTCAGATACGTAACTCACCAAGCTATCCAGCTAGATCTTCCTGTGATAATTTAACTAAACACTGTTCAGGTCCCTAACAGCACAGTATGTTCCTAAGGGGCACTACCTTGAAATCCCTCATATGATTTCTCCCAAAGAAGACAGTGATGCTACTCTGGTTCTTACCCCAGTTTCACATGCTGGGACTCCTTTTTTGTCTTGAATTAACTGTTGCTTGCACCTATTGGACCACGATATGTTTGTGTACATACTGAAAGCGTTTGACTTAGCAACACAACTTCAGAAGAAATTTACAGAGCTCCAATGCATTCCCCAGGAGATGGCGCTCTCTGCATGTATCTTATGTTGTTCAGCAAAAGGATAACTCGAATCAGAACCATCAGTGTTGTGAAAGGCAGGAACGTTTTGCGTCCTCTGCACCCACCACAACGTGATTTTCTAGTGATTGATTCTAGTGGCCAGAAACATCTTTGGTTCTGATCCCCTTCACTATTGGTGTGCATGGCATAGGCTTATTGTCATCAAATTAGTGTGACTGTGGCTGTGCAATTGTCGCCTCCATACTTTCTGAGATGGTTAAAGAATATTTTTTGCAAGTTGGAGCTCACTGGTCTTCAGATTTCTCCTTGTCCAGTTCTGGTACTTCAGATCAAAGACTGGGGTCTGTGTGAAGAAGACTGTGCTTTTGCTGTTGTTTTTAGCACCAAGAGTAAAGAACAAGCTGGTTTAAATGGAAGTTGAGTCATGGCAACTGGACTTCTTTCTCGTTAGGTAGAAACATTTCGCTACTCATCCAAGTAGCTTCTTCAGTCTGAGGAGAGTTGGCAGGAGACCCCTGACATATCCTCCACGTTGGTTTCACTTCCCCCTGGTCTAAACCAACATGGAGGATATATCAGGGATCTCCTGCCACCTCTCCTCAGACTGAAGAAGCTACTTGGATGAGTAGCGAAATGTTTCAACGTAACGAGAAAGAAGTCCAGTTTCCAGATAACGTCACCTGGATGACTGAGAATCCTCACAGATATAAGCTGGTTTACAGTATTCCAAGGTATTGAGGCGACCTCGATCTCTTATGCCAAATTTGGACTTCTAAGCACTCTCAAACTCCAAACCTGATCTTTAAGGACAAGTATAATTCCATCTTGAACAGGATAAATACTTGATGTATCACTTATCAACAGCACTCCTGTTATGAATAATACCATGGCTGAAATCCTGTTGCTTAGGATAGTAAGGATGCAAGTACACAACAATGAAAAGTCCGTTTGATTCAAAATTTTTAAAATCAAGTTCCAACACATTTCTGCTGGCATAATCGATGTAATCGTCCAGACAGATACAAGCAATTATTGTGTTCAGCAAGCTGGAATGAGAAAGCTGTGGAATGCAAGTACACAACAGGGAAAAGTCAGTTTGATTCAAAGTTTTTAAAATCAAGTCCCAACACATTTCTGCTGGCCTAATCGATGTAATCGTCCAGACAGATACAGACAATTATCGTGTTACAGGAAGTCAGCAAGCTGGAATGAGAAAGCTGTGGAATGAGACCAACAATTTTCACCAAGATGACCAGGGCAAGATCCAGATGTTGTATGGGGATGGCTGAATTGGGCTGACTTCATGTTGTTTTGGAAAGCCTCGGAGCTTTCTGCCTCCCCACACAGAAAATCCAAACCAACAGGCTGCTTTGAAGGATTTTCACAGAAAGCAACACAAATGGCTTCCTTAACCACATCAGACTTGTCACTGGTTATAAACTTTGTTTAATAAGAACCCCATGTTCTAAACCAGGGTTCTGCTTGATTCTGCATTCTCAGAAATGAAAGCAAACTAAATGTGGTGAGGGAGATGCCATAGCTGATTTATATACACTCTAAAAGGGAGGCTGGTTTTATCTAGAAAAACAGAACTATCCTCTTCATTTTTGCCACACACACAGATGGAGTTACTAGAAAAAGAGGCAGTTCTTCACAGAGACCAGATAAGAGATAGAGTAACCCGGTGGACCTCTTCAGATCAAGCAGGTCTTATCAAACGAAATACAGGGGAAAACCTCATATTTCATTAATGGGTAATGCTGAGGACGTCTAGCAATGATGGCTTGTAATACAAAGCATCCATGTTTGTAACATTCCTTCTTTTTAGAGCCAGGCGCCCTTATTCTGAAACCTTTATTCCAATTATAGAACACATTTCAAACTGATGCTTGGTGTTGGTATTGCCTGCATTCATCTCATTCACTTCTCCTGCCTGGACTGGGCTAAGGAAAGGTTTAACCCAGGCTTGTCCAACCTGCGGCCCAGGTCGCCTCGCAATGCGGCCCAGTGCAATTTTTTATTTTAAAAGAAATTCCAAAGTTTCAAGTTACACTGCCGGCGCTTGCCAGATAAGAGATAGAGTAACCCGGTGGACCTCTTCAGATCAAGCAGGTCTTATCAAACGAAATACAGGGGAAAACCTCATATTTCATTAATGGGTAATGCTGAGGACGTCTAGCAATGATGGCTTGTAATACAAAGCATCCATGTTTGTAACATTCCTTCTTTTTAGAGCCAGGCACCCTTATTCTGAAACCTTTATTCCAATTATAGAACACATTTCAAACTGATGCTTGGTGTTGGTATTGCCTGCATTCATCTCATTCACTTCTCCTGCCTGGACTGGGCTGAGGAAAGGTTTAACCATTCCTGGACGTCTCCTTCTTTGCAGAGCAGAATGGACCTTCACAGAGGTAAGCTAATGTCACATTTTAGTCTATTCTTAGTAACTCTTTGTATGTGTGTGTACGTGTGAGAAATCTTCCAGTCCTAATCTTTAAACCACCAGATCCCACTGCCTACACCTACATTACCCACTTCTGCTAGAAAACTTCTACTTCCTTGCAGGACAGCTAGTGTAGTATACAAGACAGAATTCGAGTCTCCACTAAGCCAATAAGCTTACTGGATGACTCTGAGCAGACAGTTGCTACATTTTGCTTCCAGATGGTTTTGGAACTAGAGATGGGCATGGACTGGTTTGTCCCAGTTTGTCACTTTTTTTGTAAAAGTGGCAACACAGCTGCTGCTGCTCCCCTCTCCCCTGCTTCCTCTGGCTCAAAGAGCCATTCACCAGGGCCAGCATGCTAGCTTCTGGCTCCTCTTCAACTGATCTTCCAGTCCTGTCAACAGCTCAGGCTTCTCTGCCCTGCCCTCTTGGATGATCAGGCAAAAGGGCAGGGCAGAGAAGTCTGGGCTCTTAGTCATGACTGGAAGATTAGCCAAGGAGGTGGGGGAAAACCATGCAAACTGTGTCTAGTGAGTGGTTAGATCTGCTGAGGATGCTGTGTTGCTACCTTTATGGACTGGGACGAACTGGGATGAACTTGCTTGTGCCCATCTCTATTCAGAACCAATAGCATTCCAAACTAGTGATTATATACTGCATCAGAAAACCACACGGAAATTCCAATTAAAAGCCCAATAGAAAAGCCCAAAACAACATGTTACAATAGAAGGTGAAAAAAATGGCACACACTTTTCATTTCTTTAATAAAGCATGCAAAGTAAGGGACAAAGAATTACTTGTGTGTTTAATGCAAATATAGGCATAATTAAAGATCTAGAAACGTGATTAGAAGCTTTG